GCCTACAATCCCAGTGGCTCAGGAGGCTGAGACAGGAGGATCACGAGTTCAAACTCAGCCTCAGCAACTTAGAAAGGACCTATGCAACTTAGTGAGACCTTGTCTCAAAATATAAAATAAAAAGGGCTGGAGATGTGGCTCGGTAGTTAAGCGTCCCTAGGTTCAATACCTGGTGGGTGCCAAAAATAAATGAATCCATAAAATACCTATTAATTTCCTAATATGAGCAATAATCTTGTTTTTTTTAAAAAAAATCCATTGCTCTATTATCTTCCTCCATCAAAAGTTACCTTACAGATCTGAGCCTAATTTAATTTTTTTCTTTTATAAGTAACTTAATATTTCCCCCCCTCGTTGCCCAAAGAGCTTTTGCTTTATCTTTGAAGTCCAGTAAATTTGCTACGTTAAACTCAATGGTAGTTTTCTGCATCAATTCTTTCTGGATTACTCTGTGCCCTTTCAATGTATAGATTTAGCTCTTATGGTCCAAGATTTTGTGAGGACTTTACCTTCGTATCTCCCAATGGAGACAGTTAACTGTGGTTCTCTTCTTACTTCTAATTCCCACTACTAAGATTCTTTCTTTTCTTTTCTTTTCTTTTCTTTTCTTTTCTTTTCTTTTCTTTTCTTTTCTTTCCTTCCTTCCTTCCTTCCTTCCTTCCTTCCTTTCTTTCTTTCTTTCTTTCTTTCTTTCTTTCTTTCTTTCTTTCTTTCTTTCGTATTGGGGAATGAACCCAGGATCTTAACCACTGAACTACATTCCCAGCCGTTTTTTTTAAAACATTTTATTTAGAGAAAACGTCTCACTAAGTTGCCTAGGCCTCATTAAGTTCCTTAGGCTGGCTTTGAACTTGCAATCCTCCTGCCTCAGTCTCCCGAGTGGCTGGGATTAGGTTTGTGCCACCATGCCTGGCTCTTTCTTCTTCTTCTGTCCCATACCAACTGCTTCTTGCAATTCTGGCTCATCTGTGTGATGGGTAATTTAGCCTTACTCCTCTAGTTCCCCTCCCCCAAAACACATCAAATAATTTTTGTATAGCATCATTTCTCTGCTTGCTCCTTTGAGTCCCTCTTGATTTTCTATTTAATCTTCATTACTTTTTGCCATCTGAGATCCATCTCTTGATGCACCAAAAAGAGAGTTTGCATTTTTGTTACTCATTCTCCTTGACACATAGGCATTTCCACCCAGGAAAAAGAGGAAGAAATACAGACTGCACCTGAGCCTAAGTGCACCTGAGCCTACCCTAACAGAAACCCTGATTGCATGGCTCTTCAGCTGACTTCTTCCTATAGGTCTGCTCATTCTATTCCACACTGAGTTCTTAAAGGGATGGTGTCTTATTTCCCTCTGCCTTCCTTTCACCCAGCCCAATACCTGATGCTTCCAGAGTACTGTTTCATTGAGTCTTGGATGAATAACACACATGGTGCAGCAGGCACAAAATAATATATTACCTGGACATCTGCCATCTGGATGTCTCATGTCTTCCCGCCTTCWGATGTCATCCTGTTTTGAGGCATCTGACTACAGAGGCCTCAAACCCCTTCCCACACACAGTGGAAAGCCCTAGTGATCTGGGTAGTGATCATGGTCACCTCTTGTAGCCATTCCTTGCCTTTGTAAAGTCTCAATCTCTGCTTCTCAAGGCTACTTTCTCCTTCAGGTTTCCACCCACGATGGACCATGTCCTATTTCCCTTCATTTCCTTCAAATACTACTTGCATACAACTTTCTAGACATTCAGAGCAATTGCAAGCAGGTGTGGTCTGGATGGAGAATTCATATAACTATAGCAACACACAGCACAAAAACATTCTGGTTCTTAAATGTCCCTCTAGTTCTTCTGTCACCTGAGACTTCTCACTGGCCTTTGCTTTCCCAGGAATCCTGACTCCTTGACATCTTGCTGGGCCCCCTCCATATTCCCCCTGAAGCAGGGTCTCCCCATTCCTGTACTTCCTCACTGCCTTTTTTTGGGATAGTCATGGAAACTCCAGTGTSTTCTCACACTATGTGGCCAGGGACCTACTTCCCTTAGTCTGATTGCTGTGCCTTTGGCCCAAGCGCTAGGACTTACTGCCATGAAAAGCCTCATCAGAATGTTTTATTAAACAAAAGTTTGAGTTCCTCACTTGCCCAAACTCCCATTCTATATCCCCTGTTGCCTCTGCTACTGCACCAGGCAGGACCAGCATCATTGTTCACCTGGACTATTGCAGTAGCCTCTTCCTGGGTCTCCCAGATGTCATTTATGGCCCTCTCCCCCTCATACTTCACAGCCAGAGTTCCCTTTATGGACAATAATGTGACCACACCACTACCCTGATTGAAATGCATCAGTGCATTTCAGAGAACTTCTCACTGTGCTCTGGGAGTCCAGCCCCGCCATCTCCCCTGCCTCATCTCACCCTGTTCCCCTCTTGCTCTTGGCCTCCACTGGTTTTTGTTCAGTTCCAAACACTGGCTGGACCAGGGTCATGTCTTTCCCTTGCCAGCTCTGCTCCTCTCCTCCCTCCTTTCATCTGGCTGCCTCCCATGCCTCCTCTGCCTATTTGCTTAAGGAGAACTTCCCTCATCTCTCCTGTGTCCAGCACTTTCCTCCACCTTTGTTGTTACTGACAACACTTAGTATTTTTCTCTGACATCTGGCTTTTGTTTGACTTCAGCTTCACATAGCTAGAGTGTGAGCTACATGAAGGAGGAAGGATTGCTGTCTTGTCCATGACTCTGTCTCCAAYTCCTGATACAGTGTCTGGCACAAATCCTAAATTAGAAATTATACCTTGAATTGAACATCGAAGAGGATGCTATGGCTGCCTACTGGTGCTGCGGACACTGGTGCCAATGGAGAAAGAATCTSAGTAACTCAGAAATGGAATGCTCAGTCTTTTAAGGAAATCAATAATACCGCATTCATACGCAGGTGCCAGGGTTCTGTCATTTCAAAGGGAGAAGAAAGTAGTGCATCCAAAGCTGTCCAGCTGGTGCTTACAGAAATGCTGCTCTGTGATATTTCTTTCTTCACCYAGGAGAGATTATTTTTTAAACCATGTTTTCTGAATTACACAGTTGCATATGAAACGTCTCGGCTCCTGCTGATGAAGTAGTTTCTACAGAAAACTGGTTGTCTTCCAAGAGGAAGGAAGGGCCCCTGAGATGCTTCCGAAAAAGATGAAAGAATTTCCAAAATAGAAGCTTAATGTTGTACTGCATATGGGATTTTCAAATTCACAGCTGGTTGGAAAACCATTTCCGGCTTTAAACTATTTGAGTTACTGTCTCCATGGCTTCAAGCAGCCAGAACTATATCTATGTCCTGGTTGTCAGGGGTTTTTCTGTCTTTTCCCTCCCACATTTATTCCTTCCTGTTGAAATGGTATTTCCAGCTGTGTGATACTAGCATTTGCTAAGTAGCCACATAAGATGCAAGCTCCATGGAAGTGGTGCCACATCTGTGCTTTGTCCTTTTGGTCCTACAAATAGCTAGACCTTAATATGTATTGTTGAATAAATGAATCCTCAGTTGAAAGGTTGTATACTAATGAAAAAAATCATACAGGAAAAAAAATCATCCATCAATATAAAGGAGAACATTGCTATCAATTGGAACCCTCAATTTAATTGTTTTTTTAGTTGTAGCTGGACACAGTACCTTTATTTTATTTATTTCTATGTGGTGCTGAGGATTGAACCCAGTGCCTCACCCATTCGAGGCAAGCACTCTACCACTGAGCCACAACCTCAGCCCYCTTCAATTTAAATTTAAGTATGTCCAGAAATGCCCAAATTAAGCACATTCCCTCTTCCCATTACTATTGCTGCATCAAAGCCACTCCAAAACATAGTGACTTAAAACAGTAACCTTTTTTCTATTATGCTTATAGATTCTATGGGTCAGGAATTTAGACAGGGAATAAAAGATGTGGCTTGGCCTCTGCAGCATAATTTCAGCTGGTAATGCTGAAAGGCTAGGGTGACTTGACAGATGTCTATAAGCATCTTGGGGATCCTTCATCCACTCCTCTGGTGCCTAGGCTGCTATAACTTGACCTAGGTGTGGCTTCTCCAAGTGTCTTGGGCTTCTTCATGGCATGGCGGCTTCAGGGTAATTGACCTTCTTACACAATTGGAAGTTTAATGCTGTGCCACATATAGCAAGGTACACATGTGATACAACATGAAGGTACATTCCAGTGGCAAGTTAGAAGCTGCCCCACTTGTCATGACTCAGCCCAGGAAGTCACACTGTGTCATTTTCTGCCATACTCTATTAATCAAAGCAGTTAAAAAGCCACTGAGAGTCAAGGGGAGGGGAAATCAACTCAGCCTCCTGATAGGGGAATGGTGAGATCGCATTGCAGAAGAGAAAATGGGATAGGAGAGAATTTTGCAGCATACAGTCTGGCACCTGCTCTCAAGCTTCACTTGCTATATAGGTGGGTTACCAACTTGCCTGCGTCGGGTGTTGGAGGATGACCCGCAGTTGAGGTCATCCTGTGCTCATCCTGAATCTTATTTTGCTTTTTTTTCCCCAAGTCTTTTTCTTTTTAATTGTGATAGATTTGGGCTTAGAAAATGACATTTTTAATGTAAGTATGTAGGTGAGATGAAACCAACACTTCTCACCTGTGCTATTTATCAAGGCCTTAGTAAGTGTGCTTTGAGGGGAAGAAGGACAAAGGTTTGGAAAAAGTTTTACAAATAATTTTCCCTTTATAAATGAATAAACGTTATTATCATAAAACCGCTGGAAAGATCTGTAATAAAGAAATCTTTTATTATTTAATTTGGGCATGATTAGATGGTCAACAAAATGTTTATTTCTACCCCGATGTGATCCTTGATGAACTGAGACTTTCTGGGCCTKGGTTTCTTCATGTCATGTATAAAGTGATGGTTTGAATGTAATATCGGTATATAAAAGGTACTAACAGATAGCAACTATTAGCATTACTGAGCCATCAGAGTGTTTTTCTATCCCCTCATTCTTCTCCAGGTCTCCACAATGAACAGAAATCTGCAGTTTCTACCTTTGAATTCTTCCCCCATCCCCAGTGAGCCAGAGACAAGCAACCCAGCCCTCTCTCATGGAAGTGGACCAAAGGAAGATGTACAAAATGCCACTCCTCATGGGAAATCCTACTCTGGGGAGGTCTTACCATGAAATTGGTACTATTTCTGTGGAGACAAGGTACTTCAGTGAAAGGAACTTGTAGGGTGGAAGGTGCTTAATTCTCTCTGCATCACCTGCTTCTTCCCCAGCCCCAGGGCACTTACTTTCCATCTTGGGAGCAGGARGGGAGGGAGTGAGAGCTCCACCTCAGTTGGGTTCMCCCCTTTGGGAATGCTCCAACATTTCCAAAGGAAGCAAGCACACCCATTCCCACCAACTGTGTTGGCTTAAGTTCTGTACTGACCAACCAGGAAGACTGCTAACAGAACATGGAGGGGTAGAGAGAAAGGTTGGTTAGAGTACAGCTAAAGCTGAACCTCATAGCTCTGGCCGGGACATGGGGATTCATATGGGCTGAAGCAATTGGGTCAGAATAAAGAACAAAAATCTGTCCCCAAGGTACCTGGGTACCTGTGCAAATTTGTCCCATTTTGGCTGTGATCTGGGCAGGTCACTTGCCCTCACTGGGCCTTGGTTTTCCTCACCAGAAACAAGTGCTGGGGTAGAACTCTTGTTCTGGAATGGTGGGTGACTTTAAACAGTTTGACATTATATCCTAAAACAGAACACTTGAACACCCTAGGACCAAGAAATTCCAAAAGAYACAAACAAGAATGTTTTTATCAGCACTTTTTGTAATATCCCCAGACTGGGAATTCCCTGAATATCCATTCACAGTCAAATACAGTCATGTAATAAAATACTATGCAACAGTGAAAAGGCCATGAACTACAATTGCATGCRGTAACATACAATAACACTGACCCTAAGCAACTCTAATTTAGAAGACCTAGAGTGGCTATTTGCATTTTCCATGTTGGGACAAACTTGGCCTGTTTCGTGGGACTGTCGTGAAGGATCAAGTGCGACAGTGTGTGGTGAAGATGCTGCATAAACTGGACAGAGATTACTGTTCTGTTATGATGACAACTCAAAGGTAAGATCAGAGTCTGCTTGTGGAGCGACTGAATGAACAGGTATGTGGATTATTAATTGCACTTTTGATAACTCAAAGTTGAACATATAAACCATCTATTGGGAAGAAAATTTTAGATAAACAGGTTGGAATTTATAGGCCAACAGGCTGGGTTTTGAAACCAGTTAAGCAAATGGCAACTTCCACAGAGCCTTGGTGACCTTGGGTAGAGTTTTCTCCACAAGAAAGAACTTACCAGGAGCTGGAGGTTGTGGCTGCCCTGTCTGTGTTCCCCCTGAGAACCTTACCCTGTGCCCCCTACCATTCAGGATTTGGCTAGGGAGTGACACCTGCCAGGCAGCCCAGACCACATGGATTCCAAGGCTGTGACAGTTCACAATGTTTATTAAGTGTGTAATAGACGTCGAGCCTTGTGCCAATCATCTTCTACGTTATTTACTTTAGTCCTCCTAGTAGCTCTCTGGGTTGGGTTTTTCTATAATTCCCACAGTATAGGTGACAAAGCAAATTAAGAAAGGCCACACCCTTTGATAAGATTTGAACTCAGGTCTTAGCCCTTGCTGTAGTCATTGGCCTCAGGGTTTGCACTGGGTTCTTCCATGGGAATTTAAAAAAAAAAATGGTGACTGAGYACCCACAAGAAGGCACAATCTCCCAAGTCTCCAATACCCTGTGAGGTGAGTATTATTGTGTTACAGTGAGAYGGGGTCCAGAGGTGTTAGCGTGTATAAAGTCACACAGCTGGAAATAGAAGACTTAAACCGGTGGGCCCCACCCAAGAGTCCTTGCTCTTGATCCCTCTGCACCCGCTCCTGGTCCTCCCTGAGTCTTCCCAGATGAACTTGTGGAAATGATCACTCCTTTCTTGGGATCCCATGAGCATAGCCATGAACTCCGTGTGAACCGGTGCTCATACATCCCATCTCTATAGCAGGGGGAGAACTTTGAAAGGGCAGGGCCAAGGTCTTATTTCATCTCTGTTTTCTGTGTTCCCATGCCAAAGGAGGAGAGAAGACATGCTGAGCTGGATGGGGTTCAGAGCTGGACTGTAGAGAAACTTGGTTGTAAAGTCCTTGGAGGAATTTTTTTGGGGTTGAGGAAGGGAGGAGCCTAGGAGAGGCTGATTGGCAGAGGGTAGTGCACTGGAACAGATGCTTCAATTGGAGGAAGTATCGTAGACATTCTAGTGCTTCGGAGATTAACCACTGGACAAAAACTCAGAGAGAAATAGGGGGAGTTGGTAAGGAAGTAAGAGATATGAGAAGTRCTGACACATGCTGCTGAGTGCGAGTCATAGTCTCAACAGAGATTCTGACTCGCAAGAAAGGTGTCTTTCTAGAGACCCACCACTCCCACATTTTTGCTCTTTCAACTGCTCTCTCAGGAATGCCAGAAAGACGACAGCTTCACCCCATTGCCACCCTCTGTCCACGTGGTTTTTCCTAAATGCTATGTAGAGACTTGGTGAACAGAGGCACAGGGGGGACCACAAGATGGAGAAGACACTGATTATGTGAGGTGGTGCTGGGCCATTCTGCACTGAGGTGTCAGGAATGTCTAGGACCAGGAGTTATGCCACTGTGGGACTTGCTGCAAGTTCACGTGACTTCAAGAAATCTTGAAAGAGGAGAAGCATTTGGTTAAGTCCATGCTGCCTGGGGAGCCAGGGTGAGCCAAGCTGACCTTGGCCAGRTGTGTGAAGGGAGCAGGTCATTCTCTCCTGCATGACAGCAAACCATTGTGGCCACATTTGATGTGTGATTTTGTCTAYTGTGTAGGGCTTTGGAAACTCTGAGGCTCTATGAAAAGGTCTTCAGGGGAAGTACAAACCAGAGAGCAGGTGACCAGAGCCTGGAAACTCTCACTCGGAATTCAAAGAAGGCAGCTCTTGTTTTCTGAGCTCATTGAGGTCTCTATGATAGAGTCTTTCCTCCTGCCTGGGCTGTCAGTACCGATAAAGTGAGGGCTTGAGACTCTGCTGCTCCCCTCTCTCTCTGCAGGTGCGTGTACATGCTCATGTGCAGAAGATTAWGAGAAGTTTTCTGCTGCAGGATCGCAGGGATCTACTGCATGGCAGTCCCTCTGATCTACTGTCTGCTTTCTGTAATTTCAGTCACCTGTAGTCAATTGTGATCCAAAAATATTAGATGGATGTCATTTGACTCTTCCTTGGAAAAAACTGGATTCAAACACACATGCTGTGTCTGGAGTCACARCACACCTTGGTTCCCAGTGACCAGGAATGAACCTAGTATTCGGAATYATATGTCCCTCTTGATGAGCCAGAAGGGCCTCGTGGAAATCTTTTTWGGTTATCAAAATAAAAAAGAAAATGTTGAAAAGAGCCCATTGACTTGCAAGAGGATATGTGTGGACCCTGGAGGTCATCAGCTCAGGTTTTAGGAGGGGAGGTAGACTTAATATTCTTGTCCCACTTAATAATTGAATGTTGAAAGGTCTTTGAGGTCACTTATCCAAGGTGACAGAGCAGGTGGGGGCCTGAGCAGGCCTGAGGTGGTCTTTTCTCCCCAGTTATGGATGGTTCATCTGATCCATAAGGGAATGGGCTGGGACTTCCTACAGGACCAATCTGTACCTTTTGGGGGGCATCTACTCTYTGCCAGGCTTTGGATGTGGGAACTACTGAGGGGTGACAGGAGGAGGAGGGATGGGCCCAGATCACCCATTGAGGGAAGCTCCTTTTTTTACAATCCATCTCTCAACTACCTAGGCTGGCATTTTAAAAGGTTCTCTGCCCAGAATTACCAATGGGCAGGAGTGGTGCTCCATGCCTGGTCCACTGTGGCTCTGGATGTCCAAAAGCTAACCCAGCAGCCTTGCTGGGTGGTCAGAACTGGTGTTTGTTTTGAATTTCCCAATGCTTTCCTGGGAGGGACCCAAGCCGGGAGGGCTTGGCAGCTGCATCCTCAGCTGCAATGTACAGAGAGCTTCCCAACTTTTCCCTTGACCACTGGAACCTCAGAGGTGACAGTCGAAAGAGAAAAGTAGGTCACTTGGTACAAAGTGGGGGATTCATTACTAGGTCTCCAGATTTCTCTCTTGGACTGGGAAAGTGATCATAGACTCTCAGCACCTTGGAGGTCAAAGCATATGGGTCCAGACATAAACAAACACAGTTGCATAATTCAATGGCCGTGTTTCATCTTCCATTTTGACTTAATAAATCACTTAAGCATTCATACTCTCTCTCAAAGAAGCTTAATTCAGCAACAAAAGCTAGAGATGGAAACTACATTGATCAGGCATCCACAGTCTAGGCACCTTCCAAACATTAATGCTTGAGTTGGGTTTGTGGTGCCCATCACCTGGCTCCATTAAGGGTTCTAGCAGATGTAGTGAGTACATGTGTCTAACTGGAGACCAAACTACCTGCTAGATCACTGGACTTCCAAGCACTGGGCTCCTTTGTCTAATYACTTTGGACAACATGCTGACATCTTGCCTGACTGCTAGCTGTCATCAAACTCTGCTTCCCCCCTCTTCTTAAGCACACAGCTGGATCACAATTTCAGGCTCCTTTATAGCCATGCACTGTAGACCTGCAGATGTGCCTCCAGACTCCTCTTCTTGGAGGTCTTGCTCTCCAGCTGCAGGMAGTGCAGTCAGCAGACAGTATCTGTCAGTTCACTCAGTCAGGTTGGCTTCAGCTGCAGAGCCTCAGCTGCCTTGTCCCATGTCACACCCTTCTGGTGACTGCATGAGGCACAATCATTTTGGCTCAGGAGAGGATACTTCTGATAGGCCATATTTGCTCCTGAGCTCCCCACAGGGTTAGCCATTGCTTGGTCAAGACTATGTTGCAGTTTGACTTCTGCTAAATGGTTTCCTCCTCTCCTTTCATAGGTATTGATTCCTGGTAAACTTCATGAAGTCTCAAAYTTTGTGTCAGCATCCGCTTCCTGAGTATCCAGCTTGCGACTCTGTGACTGAGATGTCACTGATGCAGGATAAGCAGAAGCAGTGTGTGTTGTTCTGGGGCCCAGCCTTCAAAAACCACCTGGGAAGATCCTCATGCTTTCTCCGTCAGCTCTCYGGATMYAGACTTCAGTGATGCCCTAGGGCATGGTGGAGCCACAAGATGGAAATAGCCTACGGATCATGAGGAAGAGAGATGCACCTACCCCTCACTTGAACACCCTTCCAGAACCATTCAGAGAATTGGAAATGAGCTTCTTTTGTACAAAGCCACTGAGTTTGGGGCAYCTACTTGTTACTTTCCTCTGTCCTGACTTGTCTTCTTTTCTCATTTGCCTTCAGATGCAAATAGAGGGGGTGGCTATTGGCCAGGTGTGACTGGAAGCCCAAGTGCTCACTGTGYCTAGACTCAAGCAGGCCAGTGGTTACCACAGAACAAGAGAGAACAAGGCTTGGGGAGGCTTTACTGTGCAGAGATCCACAGTCTCTTCAAATGTGGCTCAATGCCACCAGATTTGTCCATCAAAAGGCAACTGCTTGCTTTTAGGAGCAAGAATCATGGGATAGAGAGAAAGTAAGTTCTTATTCCACTCCCTGAGTGGACAGCAGAATTAAAGGCTTTTTATGTAGGAAAAAGAGCATGATTCCCCTCACAATGGAATCATCCAATCCTCTTGTTATTGTGTAGAGAGGGGTGGATAGATAGAGGATATAGTCATGATATATAAATGGATGGATTGTATACAGATAATGGGTAGATGGAGATGGTAGTCAGKTGATGGATGATAGACAAATATAAGTAGATGATATTTAATACTGGATAGAGGGTAGGTAGGTAGAGAGGAAATTGAGGTTCAGAGGCACTAAGGTATGTTCCCACGGTCACACAGGTCACACATTAGTCATAGAGACAATTCAACTCTTGTCTCACAGGTGGAATTCACAACCCAATTCTGCATTCTTTCCTCTCCTGAGGATGGCAATGAACATGTTCCATTTGCACCATACACAGGGTTTCACTAGTCCTATACAATGTTTTGCTTACTTTTTGCTGAGAGCCATTGCCAAGTAGGAATGACGCATCGAAATTTCCTTGCCAGCGTACCCCATGTTGCTTAGAGGAAGGACTCGTGGAAATGGACATTTGAAGTGACATTGCATGTATGTTTGAGAAAGGTGACCCTGCTCAAGGACCAGGGTGGATCCGGGTTTAAGGAGGATCCTACTGGATTAGGGCAGTTCAGGTTTTAGGGAGTATCCGGCTCCTTGGATTTAGGGCGTTCCCGGTTTAGGACAATCTGGGTTTAGGGCGGTTCCAGGTTTAAGGTTATTCCTGCTGGGAATAGGGCGTATCCTGCTGCCTGAGTTCCCGTTGAATTCTCGTGGGATTCAGAAAGTATTTGGGATTCAAATCCTGGTGGAGTACGTGAATTTTTCGAGAAGAACGTGAATTTCCCCAGAACGTGTTTGTAGAGGGCCGGTGTGGGTTCGGGAATAAAGAATTGCTGTTTAAATCTACAAAGCTGTGAGTGGCTCTTGATTTTGTGCCCAGCCAAGACTGTGGCAACTTTTGTTTTATTAGGTTTAGAATTAATCCACTTGTACTCTAATTTTAACTTAGGTTTTGTCATCTTGTAGGGTTTTACAAGATCTTTTTATTTTTTCTTTCTTTTTTGAATGGTGATGGTGGAGTAGGCATTTAAAAGCTGCAATCCCTAAATTCTTGCATGTTCAAATATGATTTTTTGTTTGAAGGACAACTTGGGTGGGTACACAATTTCTTAGTAACACTTTTGCTTGGAACCCTTGGAATGGATTTATTACAGCATATCCAGAGGAGACACCTAAGGTTGAACAAATTGTGCTGGACAGTGGAGAAACCTTCAGTTCCTGGCTGTTTTATTTTGACTGTGTATTGTTGGCAGTGGAGGGTGTTGAAGGTTTCTGTGCAAGGCAGTGGTAATTATTGTAGATGGATTTGTGAAGGAGGAGACTGGTAACAGAGAGGCCAGATCAGAGCTACCACATAATGGTTAGGTGGCCAAGGCCTGAACTAGGGCAGTGGCAGTGTTAATAGATACACTGTGGATGCAGAACTGATAGAGTTCAGCAAGGTTATCAAAGGGACAAGGACAAAGGGGGAGGGGAGCTACTAAAAAAYGATGCCTGAGGTTAAACTGGGGGCAATTAGGAAGATAGTATCATTTATAGATCCACAGAAAGAAGGCGGAGGAAGGAATGGAAAAGGGAATGAGAAGAGGAAGAAAAGGGAAAGAGGAGATCCAAGTGAAGACATTTTGGAGGAACAGGGAGAAGCCTCAGTGGAGCAGTCCAGATACAGCTGAAATCTGGGGCTGGAGTTCAGAGAAGAGGTTAGGGTGAAGGATAGCATGAAGGTAGGAGTCTCTAAGTGGGATAAGTATGCCCAATGTAAGTTTCTTTCCAAAGGTAAATCCTTAGTCATTTTCTGGAGGGTGTTGTGAAAACAGCCTCTGAAATTCACTTGTTAACCTCAAGTTTCTTCAAGGCAGTGAGAGAATTGCAACCTCTGCAGAGTGAACAACCCTGGGCTCCTAGACTTTCCTTGAGATCTCATTTCTACAGTCACATGTTTTTTTTTCTTTTTTCTTGATTAATATTTGCTAGAAGTTTATTGATTTTATTTCAAGCTATAAAAAGAAACTTTTCTTGGGTTAATGACTCAATTACACCATCTTTATATTTCCTTACTCGATTATGTATTGAATCTTTTCTTTCTGTTTTTCTTCGATACCTGCCTACTCACTTTCATTGAACTTTTATTTGTTGAACTCATTAATTTTATCTTTAGTAGTACAAATATTTAAAGCTGTAGATCTCYTCACAAATACTGCTTTCTCCATATGCCAGGTGGTCAGAGATACAGCATTTTCACTGACATGATTTTCTAAGTGGTCATTATTATAGACAACTTTTCTCTTGGCTGAGAAAAACTTGTTATTGTATACTTTATTTTAAAATTCCACATATATCCATCTTTTTTTTTTTTTAAGAAAAAAACAAGGAAGCAGGGGGAAGCAGATACAGGAAACATCTAAAGTTACATAGCCTTTGTAAGATTTGAGACCAGAACCCAGGTTGATTGACTCTGGTCTAATCAGTGAGAAAATGTTTTTCTACTTCTAAAGTAATTGTTCAAGCCTGAAAGTTTCTGGAAAACTCTTCGGTGAAATGTGAAATGGAGAATTGCAATGTTTAGAGTTGGGAAGTCAGATTCTGCCTTGGCTGCTTGAGAGCTTTTTGACCTTGAACAAGCCTCTAGGTCTCTAGGTCTCTTTGACTTTCAACATCATTACTTGCAATATGGAAAAAAATAACATTAATTTTATATTGTAAAGATGAAACATCAAATTGTTACATAAAATGCCTCATATACCACAAGTGACCCATAAATATTCATATCTGCTCCTTTAATTAACATCCCATGCTTTAATATATATATTTATATAATATATACATTATATATATATATATATATATAATATTTAACTCTGCAGAGGTTGCAATTCTGTCACTGCTTTGAAGAAACTTGAGGTTAACAAGTGAATTTCAGAGGCTGTTTTCACAACATCCTCCAGAAAATGACTAAGGATTTGCCTTTGGAAAGAAACTTACATTGGGCATACTGATCCCACTTGAAGACTGAAGGTAATAGACAAATGGTTTTAAAAAATTAAAAAGTAAAAGAATGCATTATCCCAGTGCTAACTACTATTAATGAAGTATAATAAAATATTTGAGAACTTATACATGCATATATATGTATATATATGTTTGTGTGTGTATATATATGTTTGTGTGTGTATATATATATATATATATATATATATATATATATTCATACCCACACACTCAAACACAGACTCAAAATTTGGATATTACAGCCACCAATATGTGGTGAGAGAGTCTCCTGGTAAGTGAAGGCTCTGAGGTTTGAGTGGAAAGATAGACCAGACTGATGGCAACATGGCGGGGGTGTTAGAAGGWGCTTCCTGAGGCTGGGGCACTGTCAGGGTATGAGCAGGTTTGGGTGAGAGCAGCAGACTACAATTTCGAAAGACTACTTACTCACACAGTGTCTGGTTCACTACACTGATTTTGGCATTTCACTGCCTAGTCAACAAGTCAGACTGGATTTTTATTTGAAGTTTACTGACCCAGCACTGTGTGAGGTGCTAGGTGGGGACACAGGAAATTCCTATGTTCTTGAGTGGCTAGTGTGCATGCATTTAAGTACGCACCATTTGAAAAGACGAAATACCACCTGAAATGATTGGTGTGGTGGTTATGAAAAAGAGGGATATTTGCCTTCCAGCTAGATATTTTGGTTGGGGGTGGAGATGGTTCAGGGTAAGTTTTGGCAGGGGAGATTTTTGGTCTGGGGAGATTGTAGATGGGAGGAGACTTAAACAGGTTTGGGATAGATAAGGAGGAGTTGGTTGGTGGAAAGAAACAGAAAGAGTATCTCAGAAGGCTCCCTAGAATGAGCAGGGGTGAGACCAAACAGCAAGTATTCAGGAGACAGTATAGGACCTATCCTTTCAGAAATTGGTACTGGGAAACAAAAAAAAAAATCATGCAAACCTAGAGTGGATGCTAGATTTTGCAACTGGAAGGTGCTCAAGTGAGCCAATTAGATTCTTGACAGGGAGGTACATGATAAAAATAGAATTTTATAGAGATTAACTGTAAGGGCCTTAGAACAAATAGAAGAATAAATCTACACTCAGGGAGGCCAGTTGTCTCTGAAAGATTGAGAAATTATATGAACCAAGGAAAAGGCTGTAGAGAGAGAGAGTAGAAATGTCAAATCTAAGAGACAACGTAAAGATGCTGCTTGCTGTTCAGGCCAAAGAGAAGGAAAAGTCAATGAGACCAAGGTTTACAAGCCAATGAAAACAGAATAAAATCCCTAGTAATAGAAATAGTCAAAGAGGCATTTGGAAATCCTTATAAGTTGAGGAGGCACAAACACAAGATGTGCTTGATGAATGAGCTACAATAATAATAGCAATAGTGATACTCAGGCTTAAATGTAAGTCCTTCATATATGGTATATTCATTAAGTTTATGTATATATTATCTATAAGTGTACAAATCTGATACTATATTACACAAACTTATTGAATTTATACATAATTATATATTACATATACATATGTATACATATAGCTACACACTTATTACTTATATATACTTATATATAAACTTATTTAAACCTATGGGCTTAGTATTATTTTATTTTACAGATGGGAAAAGTGAGGCAAAAAGATGCTAAGCAATTTATCCAAAGTCACTTATTCATTTTCAGATCTGGGATTCAAACTGAAACAGCATAGCTTCTAACTGTTCATATAGAATCAGTATCCAGAATAAAGAACTCATAAAAACCAAGGAAGGGCGGGGGGGGAGGGTGCAAAAAAACAAAACAAAACAGGAAAAAACAGGCAAAGAATACTGAACTGGTTTTTCACAAAAGAAATCTGAATGTATCTAAATGTGTTCCAATGTCACTAACGATTATGGAAATGCAAATTAAAACACACTAAATAAACAGAAACAAGAAAAGGTCTGCTGAAACCAAGTGTTGAGGATGTGAAGAGATGACAACTCTTTTGTAAAGCTGGTGGAAATTAACACTAGAACCGCCAGTCTTGGGAGGAAGTGGACAATATCTAGTAAGGCTGAAGATGTGCATGCTGCAATTGCACAATGATATCTGGGTTGTAATCCAGGGAAACTCTGGCGCGTATGCTCAACATGGTGCAGTGTCCCTCAGAGCCTGGTTCACACACGGAAACATGAGTGTATAGAAGGCTGGATCAAGAAACCATGACATACTCATTTAATAAGATCTTAACCTGCAGCTAAAAATAGATGAATTATATCTAACTGAATCATTGGGGATAAACCTAAAAAAGATTGTATTGAAGGAAATAAGGTTGTAGAAAGATATGTAGAGCATATTATGTAATCAATTATAATGACACTATATAGCATTTATAGTGTCATTATATATATTACATTTATATATATTAAATTTTACATTTTTACAATGTAAAAATACTGTGGGAAGGATT